ATCCGTCCGATGTCACTATGAAGTGCGACCCATCGTATCTTGGTGCGTGTAATACTGGTCTTGATGTAATCGCCGTTTTTAGATCTAAAAATGCTTTAGTATGTTCCTGCGTCCAAATAGTACTTAACTTGAAGCCGCTCATGGCTCGTCGATACGCTGTTTTGGACATTGTGCTGTCTATGGGTGCTTGCAGTAGTAAATCTCTTAGTGGGCCTTCTCTTTTCGTGTATGCATTGATTAACGTTCTGTAGAATCCTGTTAGTCCTAAAAACGAGGCTAAGTTCTGTGCGTCTTCGGGTTGTCGCCAGTCTACAATGGCTGTCAGCTTTGTTAGATCTGGTTTCACTCCTTCTCTTCCTATCGTTCCTCCTGCGAACTCGGTCTCTGACATGCAAAGCTTTGTCTTGCTCGGAGCTATTGAAAATCGACATTCTCGAAAACGTTGGAACAAAACTGTTAGCTTATCCATCATTTCTCTAAACGTACCTGTCGCGCATCCTCCGTCGTCCATGAACAATTCCATATAGTGCGTCACTAGGAAATCGTGTAGCCTTTCTGCTAATGTATCGCAGAACGCTGTCGGTGCTCCTGTAATTCCCATCGGCATTCGTCGATATTGAAAGTACCCTCTTCCTTCGATGTAGAACGCTAAATATGGACGCCACTTCTCCGGCACTTCTATCGCATAATACCCTGCTGTGAAGTCAAAAATTGAGATGTAATGTTGACCACTTAACCTCTGTTGTTTTGCTAATATATCCCCCTGCGGCATTGGGACTACTTCCGTTATTTTGTTAAGCTGCGCGAAATTCTGACAGATCCTCCATTTTTTCGGTCCTTTTTCTCTTGTTTCTTCTAAGGTAGGATTCTGTATCTCTCGTGGCGGTAACTCATAGGCTGGTTGTAGTCCCGCTGCTCTATGTTGGTCGTTGATTCGTTGCTTTAGCTCGTCCCATGGTAGACCGCCCGTTTCGTGTGCTCTTTGCGCTATAACCGTGGTTGCTACACATCGAATCAGTTCTGGGGATGCTCTCTCTACTATACCTGCTTCCAACATGTCCGTTACTCGCTCATTGTAAAACTTTGCTTGTTCGGGCGTTAAAGGGCGTTGATGTATCCGTAGGTTGAATATTGCGTTATCTGGAACGTTTAAATTCAGCGCTGCTCCAGGAATAGGGACTACTTCTCTTAGCGTTAGTGCAAAACTGTCTGCGTTTTCCGCTATAAACTGTTCTAACTCCTTTTTCTCGTCTACTGTCAGGTCGTTCCCGAACGTGATCTGTCGTAGAATTTCTTTGACTCTTGCCGGATTAAATGGATTCGTTTGTCTTGAGTATATTGACGCGTCGTTCCTCATCGGTTCTAACTCTGGAAGTTCTTCTAATAGTTGCTCTCCTCCTTCGTCTGGTCCTTCTTGTGCGTTTAATATGTTGATGCTCGTTGTTTCTTCTGTTAGATTATGTGTGTCAGTGCTTGATTGTTCTCTCGATACTCTGGCCGCTGTCACTCCCTTTGATGTGTTATTCTCTTTTTCTGCTGTTCTTTCTTTTGACGCGCTCTCTCTCTTCTTTCTGATCCAGTATCCTGTCGGCTTCCATTGGCCCATTGGGATGTTTGATGGTTTTGTTTTGTTTTCTAACGTCCTTTGTTGTTTCTCGTCTAGCGTGAGACTGACTGCATCTGCTCTCTGTAACATCCGCTTGTCCGCTATCTGGTTTTCTATTGCGACTGTTTTGATTCCGTCGGTTATCACGATCGTGTCCGTTTCGTATTCGTGAATTGCTGCGAATGTTTGAAGTGTCGGTTTTCCTAGTAAGAAGCCCCAGCTTCCGCCACTGTCAAAGACTTCAAACGTGCTCCGCACTCCGACTTCTTCAATCCTAATCATTCCCGTCCACTTTGCGATTGCTTTGACTATATTTCCATTTGCCATCCTTAATCGTTTGTCTGATGCGCTCCAGTTTCCCAATCTGTGCTTGATCTTCTCGAAGATCGACGTGCACATTGCACTGGTCATTGCGCCGTCATCGAATATCGCTCGTACTCTGACTCTTTCTCCTTGTGGACCTTCTAGCTCTATTCGGTGAGCGAACGGAACTGCCTCTCCATTTTTTAACTGAGTTTTTGTGACGACCGGGTGTCCAACCGAATACAAGTCATCGGTTTCGATTGCGTCGTGAAGTTCGGTAGTACATGCGATATCCTTAGCTACGCGCTCAGCAGAAACTTTGGGGCTAATGGTCCTAGAGTTGTCCTCGCATGTTGCCTCTTCGCATGCGAGGACTTCGACTCCGGCTTGAATGTGTTTGAGACTTTGGGTCGACGTAATGTTCTTTTTTACGTCGACCCGTCCGCTTTTCCCTGTTGTTCGGGAATCTCTTCAATCCACGCTTCTAACTGTGTCTCCTCGTAGCCGTTACTCATGACTAGTGATATCGGTGTGGCCGTTGCTCTGTTGTATGCGCCCAGCGTCTTGCTCACAATTGCTCTCCACGCTGCTTCTTTGCGCGTTAGCCTCTCTTCGTGGTTCGGCGGTAACGGGCAATCCCGTCCGTTGTGTCCATGTGTCCCACACGCGAAGCATTCGCTGGATGCGATGGCTGCCGTGCCCGGCTTTAGTGGGTATCCTGTCTCTTGTGTGACTCTCGCGTTCTCTCCCCATCTCGTGTTCCACTGTGCAAGCTGCGCTCTATATGCTGCTTTTCCTGCTGCGCTATCCGGGTGTTGCGGCATCATTTGGACTAACTGCCTGACCATTGTTTTCATCTCCTCCGTTACTACTAACGGCTGTTGCGTTGTGGCCGGTTGCCGATTATACATTGGTTGTGCGTTCTGACGATTGGTTGCTGCTGGTACCCGGTTATATGTGTTGTTCGCTGTCGGAAGCGTTGGCGGTGTCGTGGGGTTAATCGACATTCTATTGAATTGACTTTGTAATGCTGCAATTGGGTTTTGCTGCGGTGCTCGTGTCTGGACTCGAGCTAGGTCTGCGCGTAGTGCTTTGAGCTCGTGTGATTGCTTGAGGTATTGTTCTTGTTTCTCTACAAGCCGACTTCCCTTGAGCTCTGTCACCGCTTTCGTGAACTCCTCCCACTTGGTATATTCTTCGTCTTTCAATAGATCCTTTACGATGTCCGGCAGTTTACTGCGGACTTGCCATATCATCGACGTGCTCTGTTCGATGCCTGCGTCTGTTGCGAGTTGAAGCGTCTTCATCGCCCATGCTACGTGCGTCCAGCATTCTCTATCGTAGAGCGTCTTCTTCTTTCCTACGTCTTCTTCTCGTAGTATATGTTCTAACAATTCTTTCTCGTACTCTGCTCTTGTCTTTTCCGCTATCTGGACTGGCGGCCAGCGTTTCTCGAATGCTATCACAAATGCATTCCATGTCGCTTTGTCTTTCGACTGCAACGCTTTGAACCATCGTTCTGCTTGTGAACTTGTTCCGAGGTAATCACCAAAAGCGTCTAATTTGTCGGTGCTGTCTGTTATTGTCTGCTGACGCATTGCTCGATTGAAGGATTTCAGGAAATCCGCCGGATTTTCTGATGCTCTTCCATCGCCATGAAATATCTGCGGGGTCTCTACAGGCATGACGGCTTTTAACTGTGCGAGTGCAAAGAATTCGGCTAGATTGTAATTCGGTACTGTGGAGATGGATGTGAGCTGCTCTGTCTTCGTGCGACGACGTGGTTGTTGGACTTCGGACGATGGTATGTAGATGTCTAATTTTTGGACTTCTAGTTCTGGGAAGGGGACTTGATTGTTCTGCTGTTCGTCTTCTTCCGAGAGGCTGCTTAGTGACGATGTGCTACAGTGACTTGGTGTGTTGTGTCCTGATGGATCTGGCGTATCGAGAGGAGATGATGCTGCTGATGTCTTTTCTGACCAGAGTTCCCAGTTCGTTTTTAAACGAACGTTGGTTACCGCTTGTCCTTTTGCTGTTCTGGGTCTCAATTTGTTAGCTTTGGGCATCAAATATAAACGTAAATGCGAGTAAGATGAACACTGCTCTTTTTTGTAATTGGTGTTGTTTTTGATGTGAGTTGCGACGTAATAAGACTGTATGTTTCTGTAAATGGTTCGTTAGCTTCTATTTGGGAGCTTCTATGTTCTATTCTATGACTAAAATCTAGACCGCGAGCTAATGCTTCTTTCTTCTGCGTGCTTTTTTGTGTGATAGGTGTGTGATGCAATATCGCGCTGGTTCGGATTCTCTCTGTTCACCACGATGGACTAGGACGAAAGCAGTGAGGGGAGAGCTCTATGATGCGTGATGATGTGTTACACTATGAACAGAGTTTGGCTATGTGCGCGTGTCGCTGACTAAGCTATGGCTATCGCCGAAGGACCAACTGCCTCTTGTCTATGTCTCTTCCTTTGGTCTATGCCTTGGGACCCCCGGTCCAACGGGTCAGGCAGCACTGCGATAGGATCTTCCAGTGGAGTGTGAATCTCACACGAAACCTGTAATGCCCAACAGGATTGACAGTCCGGATCTGCTTGGTTGGTGCTCATCAACTGGACAATGGATTCAATTTATAATAGATGTCCTGTGTGAAATGTTATGTTGTAATACACATTATTCAGTGCAGCGAGCACGGTATGCGATATGCAATATGAGGGATGCACCTAGAAAAATATGCCTTGAAGCTTGAAGCTGGCCAGTCATGCACGTCCAGCCACGATGGTTCGAAACTACAACGTAATGAATTAATTAATTATGGGCCATATATAGAGCAACTTCGGCCGGCCGGGGTCTCGGCCCTCGCGGGGTCAGGAGGTATTCCGAATCCGAGTAACCAAGTAGTGTAAGTAACCAAGACAGGTGAGAGCGCTCTTTTTTATTGTTCTGAGTTCATATCTCTGTTGCTGGTTTTTTTAACTGATTTTCTGCTCGCAGGAGAGCCTGTGCAAACCTAGAACTGTTGGTGACTTTGAAGTCGCTATAAAACGTTGGTGGAGTGACACTCCTTCAAGCTGTAATGACATCCGGGAACATGACGAGACTACGCCCACCAAATTTAACGATCCAGTCAAGATCACACTCATTCGAGTCCGAGTCGAGCGCGTTTCTCGATACGTCTTCTGAATCAATATCAGAATCTCCGCTTGCATCGGATGATGAGCTCTTGCAACTATCTTCACCTTCTTCCTCGTCCTCGAGCCCCATAGCCTTAAACATTCCTGATGCAGAAGAGTTATCACGAGACTTGGCGGCACTTGCCCAGCTACGCCAATCTGTACAGAAAAATCTTCGTCTTCGACCAATCCGTTCGTTTAGCAGATTACCAAAGACTGCCGTTCCAAGCGTTGCCGCTATTCCATGGCGCCAAGATCAACACCACCGCCAGCGGCAAGTTGACTCGGATTCTTCTTCTCCAAAAAGTGCAAGCAGCACGTATCTTACCCCCGTTGACATCCGCTTCCCCAGTCCTCCTGCCTCATCTCCCCCCGAACCTCCAAGCTGTGCCCGGAAGCCTCAGCAACGCTCCGTGTCTATGCCATCACCCCGCGTTCCCACTTCTGCTATGGATCCTACTGAATTACTTATTCGCCTCGCCTCTCCCACTCGTCCACTCCTCATCGACACCCGCACTCACGTTGCCTATGCCGCGACTCACCTTTTAGGAAGTATTAATATCGCCATGCCGTCCCTAATTCTTAAGCGCTCAAAACGCACATTACCGACTTTCGCATCACTTCGCCAGTTCATCACCAATGATGAAGGAAAAGAAGTTTTCGATTCCTGGGACATTGACGGGGATGTCGTCATTGTTCATGGAGAAGAGACTGATGAACGGGAGAGAGACAATCCGGGCGTCATTGCATGGGCCCTGCTTTCAGTTCTTGCACGGTTCCTGAACCCGGACAATGTATGGTATCTTCGCGGAGGAATTGTAGGTGCTCAACTTCATGCGCGACTCCGAAAGTACATCATCAATGCTCCCCATTCTCCTCCTTCTCCCTCTCAAGCCTCTTTGCAACTGCCAAAACCACCCAAGAGTGCAAAGGGAAGGGCATTCCTTCAACTCGACACCCACAGCGCTGCTGGGCTCAGTAGCAGTGTGCAGATCGAGCAGGAGGATCAAGACCATGGGGGTGAAATGGAAAGACCGGGACACTCACCATTACCAATTATGCCTGGGCTCTCACTCAGTCTTGATAGCCCTATAGATTCTGACCCTCCGCCCTCCAAACTTGCCTTTCGCCGTCCACCTCCCCCACGGAGATCAAATACTCTTAACGTTGACAGTGCCAAGACAAACGGAATCAGTGATGCAGCGAATGATAGTGCGGTGTGCGGGCAGATTCTAGCGAAACCCATCAAACATGCTGTAACAACTCTCCCGCGGCTTCATATTCACACAGCTCCAGCGCGCAGCTCAACACTCCCTATTACACCTTCGCAACAGGTTGTGTTCCTTCACCCTCCACCCGCATCCCCGTCGCATCTCACGCTTCTTCATTCCAATCACACACCTCCAGCGAGCGCATTTAACTCGAGCTTTAATTTCAATCTCACCAATGGTAGTTGCCTTGGGAATGCGGGTCCATATCCACAAATGCCCATGACACCATCTACTGCCAAGCCGACGCCCACAACATCCACACCCAGTGGCACTTCCTCCGATGCTGAAAACGAGCGCGAAGAGTTTGTCATCTCTACGATCCTCCCTAACTTCCTCTTCCTCGGCCCTGAACTCATTTCACCTTCACATGTCTCCGAATTACAATCCCTAGGTGTGAAGCGAATCATTAACATTGCGGCTGAATGCACAGACGATCGCGGGCTAATGCTCCGGGAACGGTTCGAGCGGTATGTGCATATTCCAATGAGGGATTGTGTTGAGGAGGAAGGAGTACGCAAGGGGCTGAGTGAGGCCTGTAATGTGCTTGGTAAGTACTTCGCTTTTGTCACAATTCGATGCTTCTATCGGTGGAGAATTGGGTTTTCGATTCAAAGCTTTTCTTGTTTCCATCATACGTTCCTCGATGTACATGAACTAATTCCTGGCGCAGACGAGGCCGCTCTCTACAACGCACCCACATATGTGCACTGTAAAGCCGGTAAATCACGTAGTGTCACCGCAGTGATGGCATACCTTATCCACAGCCACCACTGGCCGCTGGCACGCGCATACCAGTTCGTGCTAGAGCGCCGCAAAGGTATCAGCCCGAATATCGGGTTTGTAAGCGAACTCATGGCATTTGAGGAGGCAGAGCTCGGGCGTATGACGAAGCCTAAGCCATCTACTGCAGTGAGTGAAAGTAATGTTGGGGACGTTGGTGTTGGCACAGGCAGGCGACCAGCGCATGTCAGAGAGAGCTTACCTCCAATGCCTTCATGGGACCGCGAGGAGGAAGAAACAACAGAGGAAACGGGCCAAGATATGGAGATAAGGGACCGGGAGGGACGGTATCGACATGCCAGGCGGGCTCCCGTGGATGAGAACACTTTGCAGCCAATGAGACGAGTGAGCAAGGCAGGTCTCGAGAGTGCTGGATCGATACATGGCGATGATAGGGACGAAACGTGATGCCACATGAGAACTAGGTCATACCCTGCTGTTTTGGTGCATTGTCAATGGACCATTCTCTGATCTCTCTATATACTCAACGAATTACCTTAAACCCAATGACTTGACTTACTTCAACAATCGACTTGGAAATTGTAACGTCGCTGTTGCCTTCAGTTTGACAACCCAGCCAATTGCGTGAAGCTTTGTGGAAAGCAGCTGCATTGGCAGGCTCAGTGGTACAGGGGTCCGTCATTGAAGAATCATATACATAAGTACAAAAAACCAGCCATCCAACAACCAGCCCATCAGACCCATAATCGACGCTGCACATCAATGAAGTGTAGCGAGTCAGGACGTTATCTAAGGACATGTCAGTAATGACACCAACGTTTCTTGCCAATACTACACTGGTTAGTTAGAGCCACAGCAAAAGGATGATTATTATGCATACACAATTGACGCCTTGATCTCAAGACTGATGTCCACTTGCTGAGCTATCATTGATGATTTCACCAAGCAGCTGCATTGGGTACACCAACCCGTCTTCATTGACGCCAACAACACCCACGCACAGCACCAATTCGGGAAATGAGCACGAAGGGTATATTGTATCTAACTATTCTTCCCGACTAGACCAAATGTACCAGTCCTAATCCAAGTGTTCATGCAAAGTCTAACAAGAGCTCCTTGAATTTGGTAGAACTCACATTAGATACAGCCGCTGGTCATAGATTTCCGTATACCACCTCCCCATCGATGACAGTTGCTGTCACTGTGGCACTCAAGATATCCTCGATAGGCACCGTCATGATATCACGGTCCAGAACGACGAAATCAGCTTTCTTCCCGATTGAAAGCGAACCGAGAATATCCTCAGAGAAAGACGCGTATGCAGCATCGAGCGTCATGCCTTTGAGCGCTTCAGCGCGCGTGAGGCGCTCGGATGGATACCTAGAAAAAGAGGGTAGTCAATAACTTTTGAATCAGCACATTTGAAAGTATGCCAGAATCTCACCATCCTCCAGGACCATGAGGCGAGTCGCCTGTTACAGAGAGGCGTGAAACAGCAGCGTAGAAACCAAGAAGGGGGTTGATGTCCTCGACAGGGAAGTCAGAGCCAAGGGGTAAGACTCTGGTTGGAGACGCGCTGTGGGGTATCAGTACCAACGCAATACAAGGTAAGAAGATAAAGTAACTTACTTGAGTAAAGCTCGATATGCATACGCGCCTTTGATTCTCTTTGGACCCTATAGGCACCCAGTTTGATGTGCTCTAGACAGATGAAAAGAGGGAACCTACCAACCGATCCTCAGCATACCACATGTCGCTTGTCCTGTAAGACGAGATATGTCGGTCAGACGATTGGCAAGGCCTATCGACTGACTCACGCATGGGTCGGTTGCACACTAGGTATCACTGGAATCCTATACCATCTACAACGTGAAAGCGAAATAAGAATCGGGCCTCTTACCACCTAACTTTCCAATTCGCTTGATATCATCTAGTGTCAAGATTTGCGCATGCTCAATACGAGGTCGCAAGGCGTCTATGGAAAACGAAGCGTTGGCGAGCATATCATCATAAATGTCGAGTACGACATGATTTGCCCGGTCTCCAATACAGTGGATATTCTGGTGGTAAGGGGTCAAATAGTTGAGCTAGTGCAAGGATGAAAAAAGATCACGAATATCGGGCACTTACAATTTGCCAACCATCGGTCGAAAACTCCTTTACCAGCTTTGCAAGCGCCTCCGGGCGCAACCGCATGATACCGCTTGTCGACGGATTATCACTATACTAAAACCTTTGATATAAGCACGTTCGTGCTTGAACGGTAACGTGAGTAGGTGCTCACGGGCTCAAGCAGTGCAGCGCCGAATGAACCAAGCGCACCTATTTATTGAAGATGAATTTAAGCACCAAATAATAATTCGAACAGAACCAACCATCTGCGAAAAGTTTGACGCTGCGCACTGTCAATCGTCCACCAAATCCGTGCTGGATCAGCCTTGGAATCTGACCTCCCCAGTAATCATCAAAGTTCACACTGCCCATGAGATAAAGCCGGAGCTGCTACGTGTGTCAGTAAATTGCTACGCTCAAGTAAACAAAAAAACTGACAGGTAGCTGCTGAGTCTCTGAGAGTCTGGAGGGAAATTAATTCAAATGTTTTTGGAAAGCATGGGCCGCGTACTTTTTATAGAAGTGTATTTCTTCTGGGACAGAAAATGCGTCGTGCACGCTAGTCAGACCCACCGCAAGTGCGTCACTAGTAGCACGGGTGAAGTACTCCATCGCGCGGGTCTCGCTGAAGGGTTGTGAGGGAATGAGAGCCATAGCATTATCAACGAATATTCCTGTGATTCCATATAGGTTTCAGACGAAGAGGTACTACCTCAAGAACAGAACTCCTGAGGAAGAGAAACAAACCAGTGGGTTTTCCGTGCTTGTCGCGGATAATCAGCCCGCCATCGATATCCTCCTTAGGGAGGGGCGCCATGAGCTGCAGCACACGGTTGGATACCCAGGAGGCGTGAGCATCAATACGGGTCAGAGATATCCGTCGACCGCGAAGAAGTGGTTCCCTGTCAAAATCGTTCTTTGGTGTTGTGAGGGGATGTGAAGAGAAAGCAAATAAAGATACATACAGCATGAGGATATTGCGCTCCAGGCCATTTATTCTGGTCCCATCCCATGCCCTCTATCCATCGAGTGGGATCGCCCAGAATGTCAGGATGTGCTATAACATAAGCTTTCAAGTGGCTCAAGACATCTTTCATGTCGCATCAGTAAATTGACGATAGAATACAAAGTCAGTTGAAACAAACCATCCACAGAGGTACAGTCATCCAAGTTGAGATTCATCTTAAAACCATAATGCAACACATGAGCATGGGCATCTTCAAGGGTCAAGAGTGAGGACACGAAATTTGATTCAAGTTGGTGATTCGTACCAGTCAGGCCAGGAACTACAATACTGTCAGGTGGGATGTTTATCACTCTCGGAGATGGCTCAAGAAAATTGAATGGCCAAGGTAAGCGAATGACGCTTGCCAGTGGGATCTCTGACCACCATCGATCCCGCCAGCGTAAAGTTATGTCCTCTGTCACAAGCGCAGCGCGTGAGTTGGATGCATAAACAAGGCCACTGATTCGCGCATACCTAGATCACCTGTGTCTGAAATGAGGGTATCATGTACGAAGATGCATTGAACATTGGGAAGATCTGAGTCGACTGTGTAGATTGTGCGGTTAGCAGAACAGACCGCATAATCTAAAGAATGGGTCTCAGGGTTGAGCCAAGTGAAGGTCCCTCCTGCAGCTCCCAGCGCAACCGACAGTGCGAGGAGCCACGATCTAGCCCACCAGCTTCGATTCTGAGGTGAATTGGTACTACTACTCTGCCCACTGACGCTTGCCGGCTTGACCAGGGGTGAAGAAGAACCCATGTCGTACGAGAAAAAGCGAGTTGGGATCCGTGAGGGTATACATGTCTAACATATATATACAGAATTGTGTACGTCAGACTTTTCTCACTCCTTTATGGCAGGTTACCTGAAGCAACTTCTCAACTGCGCTTATTATTTTTGATATACTTGAAGATATACTGCAAATTGCACTTTGGACGGAATCCAAGTACTCTATTCACGTTGGCACGGTGACTCATCAGTGGCTGCAAATTATTGACGACCACCTTTTACTGTGGCAAGCAACTAGGAGACTATATGCACTGCCCACTGCACGACGACAGTAAATCCTAACACTGAAAGCAGTGTTTCTTTGTGGAAGGTCGCCCAGGATGAGGAAAACCATTTTTAATTACAGCCTGATCCGTTGCGTTACGTGCGTACTGCGTAGGGCAACTTATTGTGCTGGTCGTTGGGTCACCAGCCTACATGCAACGACTGGAAGACCTAAGCGCGAATGCGCTTGTCTGACAATGTCAAGAACGAAACGGTTGGTCCCGCGGGAGCATTTCCGTGACTCCCATGTGCGCGCTCCACCCGCTCCTGTCAGTCTGCGCGCCGTACACTCATCTCCGTGTCTGAGCTCCACCCTTTGCGATGCGCAAAATGGAACCGCTTCAAGTTACTGGGACGGATCGGTGACGGAATAACGTTGGTGATGGATGAATCTGTTTATCATTCTTCGTCTGAGTTTAAGCAAACTTCAACCCTTCAAGCTTCAAGATATGCTACTCTTTGTCTCCATCACTAAACATCGGGAGGTGAACGAATTGCTTGCTTATGTACTTGGAAGTAGTATGACACATAGGTGAAGCGCCGGAATGTACGTTATATTATGGTGTTTAAAGTCTGTGTATATAGGCCGAACTCAAGGAAGCTTGCCATTCAGACTCATCTGGCTGGCCTTGCCTGCGCACTACGCATCGGCTAGCGCTTGTCATCGAAGTTTGACCCCTCAGCTTTGAGTTCAGCATGGCCTATCTTTTCTAACTTCCCATCGAAATCGCGCTTCCGATATCCTGACACAATACGTTCGAGCAGTTCCGAAGTAGACACCCCCGGTGTACGTCGAGTAGGAATAAATTTACCTGAATGTGTCAAACTTTTGAAAAAGTAGGGGAAAAAGAAAGGGAACAGACCTAGTGCCTTTACAAATGCGTAGACATCATCATGATCGCCCGACACGTACGGGAGTTCGTCATGAGCAACGTAGTCGATATTCCACTTATCGATGAAAGCTTGGTCCAGAACCCACGGGCAGTCGGGAATGACCTCATCGACCCAGCGACAGTGTCGCACAGCCTCACAGCTATATCAGTGTGATTAAGTTTTCAGTTGTGGAGAACTGGCGCATCATACCGCTCAGCATGTGTCATCACACAGCGTGCTTTATGGGTGACGACGTCCTCATCGGAATTAACACCAACGAGTAAATGTACAGATGGAAAAGACAACTTGGCCTGCCGTAATTGCAGGGCATGACTGGTTCAAAGATCAACATCCTTACACAAAAAGGGAGGGACATATATACCCAAAGTGAAAGAGATCATATACCCCTGATATGAATTAGCACAAAGTCTGTCAAAGTTGAATTGACACTTACCATCTGCAAAAACTCTAACAGGCCGATTTAGTGGTGGTGGGTTAATCTTGTAGGATCTAGAGGATTGACCCTCGATCGCCTCGCGTATGAAAGCCTGAATATGTTCGGGAGTGAGGGCAGCAGGGTTAAACGTAGATGTTGCTTCAGCGGTAGGCATTGGTTCATCGGGTGCAAGCGCCGCAGGTTTCACAGATGGTAGCACATCGTCGATTTGAGAGGTCAATGTTGATGCAGATGAAGAATGCTGAAGAGTAGGATGTAGCGCCTTGTTGAAGGGATGTGAACCGGCTGCTGCAGTGACGCTGCTCTCTACATCACCATCATATGTTTGGGAATCAGTGCCATCATCTGAGAGCATGCTGGAGGCTAGCTGATGACGAGCACGAGATACTGCCTTTGATTGAAAGGGGGTTTTAGCTGAACGAGAGACGGTTGGAATGGACATGGAAGAGCCTCCATCATCAGTACTGAGAGGGTCATTATCTTCTTCTGACCTGAAAACGGGGTAAACTATATGGTCAAGGAAATAAAAAAGAAGTAGTACTTGCGCGTCATAAGTAGGAGAATCTGTTGAATGATGCTTTGCAAACGAACGCTTCGAATGCAAAGTCTTTTTGTGATGATGAAACGATTCAGTAGACGAATCCATGATCGTACGTTGGTACTGAGTCGGAGATGATATATATTTGGCCAACTGCGATATCAATGTAAAGCACGTGATTATTTATTTATTTAACTTATGTAATTAAAGGCGTGGGAATGTATACGTGTCATTTGCGTGTCCTTTGAAAGACATAAATACATCGGAGCTGATTCAACAATTGAGTACCAACTTCTCTTGTGACAACAATGTCTGGCCGCCCGTCTCGCGCCAAGTCATGGCGTATGGCGTCTTCTCTTTCTCTCTTTTTCCTTGCTTTCCTCGCTCTATTTTGTTTCTCTCCCGCTGTTACAGCGAGTTCGAACAGTGAATACGGTACGGTGATAGGTATAGGTAAGCGTACATGCACTGCGTTCGTTTCACATTACTAACTTCCTTATTCGCAGACTTGGGAACAACTTATTCGTGTGTCGGCGTTCAACGCGGTGGTCGTGTCGAAATTATCGCCAATGACCAGGGTCATCGTATAACACCCTCATGGGTCAGCTTTACTGATGACGAGCGGCTGTAAGTTTTCATTTCGCAACCCAGGAAACCATGACTAACTTATTCCTTACAGAGTTGGTGATAGTGCCAAGAACGCGTTCCATTCAAATCCAACCAACACCGTTTTCGACGCTAAACGTCTCATCGGCCGGAAGATGGACGACTTGGAATTAAAGCGTGACATGAAGCACTTTCCCTTTAACATTGTTGACAAGGGCGGCAAACCAGCCATTTCGATAGGTTACAAGGGTGACACACGCCAATTTGTAAATCATTCATATCAGACCTCTGAATATCTCGCTGATTATGTTCTTTAGACTCCGGAGGAGATTAGTGCCATGATTCTGACAAAGATGAAGGAGACTGCGGAGGCTTATCTCGGCGAGAAGGTCACCCACGCAGTAGTAACTGTCCCCGCATGTAAGCCAGCAATGCTGACCTGACCTTTATTCGCTTATGAATTTGTTGTCAAGATTTCAATGACGCTCAGCGTCAAGCCACGAAGGATGCTGGTACAATTGCTGGGTTAAATATTCTTCGTATCATCAACGAGCCCACCGCTGCTGCTATCGCATATGGTCTTAACAAGAAGGGTGGCGAGTCTCAAATCATAGTCTACGATCTCGGAGGAGGAACTTTCGATGTTTCCTTGCTCTCGATTGATGATGGTGTTTTCGAGGTCTTGGCAACTGCTGGTGATACTCACCTTGGTGGTGAGGATTTCGACAACCGTGTCATCGACTATCTTGTCAAACAGTACAAGAAGAAGACCGGTACCGACGTCACTAGCAACCTTCGCGCTATGGGCAAGCTGAAGCGCGAGGTCGAGAAGGCCAAGCGTACTTTGTCGAGCCAACAGTCGACCCGCATTGAAATCGAGTCCTTCGAGGATGGCAACGACTTCTCAGAGACACTCACTCGCGCTAAATTTGAAGAGCTTAACATGGATCTGTTCCGCAAGACCATGAAGCCCGTCGAACAGGTGCTCAAGGATGCGAAGGTCAACAAAGAGGACATTGACGAGGTGAGATGTCTAGCGACAATCATTGGTACCGTCTGACACGGTTGCAGGTTGTCCTTGTTGGTGGTTCAACCCGCATTCCTAAGGTTCAACAACTCCTGAAGGAGTATTTTGGCAAAGAAGCATCAAAGGGTATCAATCCCGATGAGGCTGTTGCTTACGGTGCTGCTGTCCAGGGTGGTATCCTTTCCGGTGAAGAGGGTACCGAAGACGTCGTCTTGGTGGATGTCTGTCCTTTGACACTTGGTATTGAGACCACTGGTGGCGTCTTCACCAAACTTATTCCTCGCAACACTGTCATCCCCACTCGCAAGTCGCAGATGTAAGTGCATTCTGTTCTCGCGAGTGAATGCAACATACTGATAATCTGTAAAGCTTCTCAACGGCTGCTGACAACCAGCCTACCGTTCTCATCCAGGTCTTCGAGGGTGAGCGATCTTTAACCAAGGACAACAACCTGCTCGGCAAGTTTGAACTTTCGGGCATTCCCCCTGCTCCTCGTGGTGTTCCTCAGATTGAGGTCACATTCGAGATTGACGCCAACGGTATTATGAAGGTCGGTGCCGCCGACAAGGGAACGTAAGTCGATGGTTTTTAGTCAGTGCTATAAGACACTGACCGGGCTCTTAGTGGTAAATCCGAGTCAATCACGATTACGAACGAGAAGGGTCGTCTCTCTAAGGAGGACATTGAGCGCATGGTCCGCGAGGCTGAAGATTTCGCCTCAGAAGATGAAGCTAATCGCAAGCGCATTGAATCCCTCAACGCCCTGTCCTCGTTTGTCTACGGACTCAAGTCACAACTTGGTGATCAGACAGGCCTTGGCGGCAAGATCGACGACGATGACAAGAAGACTATCCTCGCCACCATCAAGGAGGCTACGGAGTGGATTGATGACAATGGCCAGAGTGCTACTACTGAGGAACTCGAAGAGAAGCTATTGGAGATTCAGAACGTTGTCAATCCAATCACAAGCAAGCTCTACAGTGGAGGAGGTGCAAGCGAGCCCGAGGATGATGAACCATATTATAATCATGACGAGCTGTGAGGCCTGCGCGGTGGGGACATAATCCCGATAAAAGTTGTATGTCAGTATCAGTAACATAGAGTCACCTATTTCAATGGACAGACCCATCCTCCTGCACCGTCTAGTCGCAAATGTGTGACAGACCGTTCCAAAGCATATGGGGCATCTCTTGGTAAATGTCGATGTTTCAATGTGTGCGTTACATTTTATTGATAGCGTGCATCTTAACGTCGCACGATACCCAGCCTCCTTGATTACTATATTGTTAGAACCGTGTTGAAAGTACAATTGACCAGTAAGTACATTGCGATAATGGTATTACGAGAACGAATCGAGGAGCTCTATACGTTCCGATACTCGAAGGCAGGGCTTCCAGGTTCGGACGACTCTATGATGGTGCGCGTGAAGCCAGGACCTTCTCTCTGCAATGCCTCCTCAACGGAAAAGACTTCCACATCTTCCAGGCTCAAAGACTTTCTCAGATATGGCAGCAATTCCTTCAGAATCTCAGACTCGGAAAACAACAACGTTCTCTGGAACGCAGCATCGACACCGATTTCTGACATTCGTTTCTGCATTTCGAGATGAGATGAGCCGATAAAGACGGTGATAATACATCCTTACCTTGAACGCCTGGATGAACGGCATAGCGCGCTTGTCCTTGATCAACCCTTTCTCTATCAGGACATCGCGCACTTTCGCATCGTCCACCTTATCGTCCGGGCTCGAGTACGAATCCTTGACAGCCTGCACGCACGTATCCTGCCACTCAGGGAACCTGGTCGCAACATAAATCCGAACGGCCTTGGGTTTCTTGGGGTCGAACAACGCATTTTCGACGCCCTTGCCTTTCTTGCCCTTCTGCAACCTCTTCAACAACGTAATCTCAGCATCACGGATCGTCTTCAGTGTTCCACGCATGTACACGCCTGTCTCAACGATTGACCTGTCCGCGATGCGCTCTGGGTCTGGCCACAGCGCCAGCTGTACGGACCGAGGCTCCTTTAACAGCTCTGTCCAAATATGCTCTGCGAAGTGAGGAGCAAAAGGCGTGATCATCAAGGTGGCAACACGGATCCAGTATTTGACCAAGTCTGCATGCATCCCGATATCGGCGGTAACTTCTCGGTACCAGTCACGGGCACTCTGCAACTCGTAGAAGCCAAACTTCAGAGCATCCTTGAAAGCAGTTCTAACGCAGATAACTGAGACCATGACAAAGAGCTAAAGTTGGATAGAACTCACGCGTCGTAATGACCCTTTGTAATGTTGATCAGGTCGACAATTTCCTCCTCGAACACGTGATCATGATAAGAGCTCTTGGGACCAGTGCGGAGGTTGGACTCATCCTTGAACATTTCCTAAAGAAATTGTTAGTAGATCGTCTCGTAGAAAGCGAAATTCATATACCTCACACCATGTCATCAACGTATGCAAACGCAGAATGTTTGCATTGGCAGTCTTTTCATCGAAGTTGGCATCTTCTACGCCATCGCCAGCATCCGCCAACGACAGACGCATCGCATCAGCACCAAATTTCAGCACGCCTTCCCTCAGCGTCAGTGAGTTGCCTGTGCTCTTTGACATCTTCTTGCCATTCAGCATCAGATGTCCATTCGTGCGGATGCCCTTGGGCCATTTTTCCTCTGCAAAGATTGCGGCGTGGTTATAAAGTAAGAACGTCAGATTGTTCTGGACCAAGTCCTTGCCGGAGGAACGCATATCGAAGGGGTAGAAGTAATTGAATTCATGCTTCAATGCGTCGGCTTTGTCCTTGGGGAATGGCTCTGAGTCTGGCCATGGTCCGTTGCAGAAGACGTATTCCCAGGCCTCATCCGTCATCTGCTCGGCGCTGACGCCCAGAGGCCCAGGTGTCCGACCAAAGATATCACCACCTGAGTGAATGTGATCAGTGAGATGATAAAAGTTAGTTCTGACACCTACCGTGCAACAAATGCGCGACAGTGTAGTATGCCATGTAGATAGTCGAGTCACTCAAACTTTCGACCATAAATTGGGGATCCCAAGGTAACTTGGACCCCAGGCCGTATGTCCGGGCACACGCCCACTGATTCAGCCATGCCAAGGTGGCCTCGAACAAGTTCCGAGTCTCGACCGTCCATGTCTCCATCTTTGCCAGCAACCTGAAGTCCGATTGTAAGCAAAAGAAAAGAAAAAATACGAAATACGAGCCTCTCGGCCTGTGATCTCCAAACAGGTTCACCGTAATCCATATACCACTGGTCCATCAAGGCGACGACGCACTCATCTGCGCTGCGCGAGATGACCAGGTTCTCTGGTTCGGCATATGCGAAAGCCAATCCTTGTTCGATCATGCTTGCGCGCACTCTGGGCTTCGCTTCTTGAACGGTCAGGCCCTTGAACTCGCCGACCAACATCACTCCACTGTAGAAACCCTCCTTGTACGCGATTTCCTTCGCCTCTGCCAGCTGCTTGACATCTTTCTGCGACTGAATCTTCAGCTTCTCGACTAAGCGGGGCGCAGTCAGCTCGCCATAGGTCGGAGTCGTTAGCACGGGAATCGGATCAATGGATACCCATTCGCGATCGATCTTGTAAAATTCAGGCTTCTTGCGCAAATCGCTGACAGTTGCGAAATCATCGGGGGAATCTGACGGTACAGAAGTGACGACACCGGTACCCTAAGACAATGTCAAAAAAGTCTACGGCACTATGACAACTGCACGACTGACCTTCGTAGCCAAAACATTATCCATGGGCAGTACAAACACCTCAGGAACTAATCCAAATGGTGCTTTGATCTTGGTACCGACCAAGGCCGCGCCATCCATCTCCAACAGCTGTTGAGTCTGGCCGCGCTCAGGCGATAGACCTTGGAAAGCCATGTTACGGGCTGCACGATATGTGCATACAAATGCCTCTGCATCGTTGATCGCGAAGACGCCATATTTTATAGAGGTGCCAACGAAGCAATTGGTCTGGCCATACCTGTGGATGTACTAAGAAACAATATTAAGATGGATATGAGAATACAGACATGGTCTCGGGACGCAACGTAGCAGCCACCAAAAATACTTTCCGACCATCGACTTTGCTTTCAATGGCCTTCGCAGCTGAACTCCATTCTACGACCTCCATCTTGACGCCAGTGTACTCTTGGGGGTTAACACCTTCACCGTCGGATCGATCATGATCCATACAAGGCTGTCCGTCTTTAGGGCTGTAGATCGTGTATCGCTCCCCGAACTTGACTTTTCCCAATGCGTGTAATTTATTCATTTGCCATCGAACGAACGAGTCGTAGTAAGGGTTCAGGTCGGTTGTGACAAATGAACGTCTCCAATCGATACGATTTCCCATTGCGTTGTTATCCTCCTGTAATACAGAAATGAAGAAATGACAAAATGACCAAGGATCTGTTTGCACACCTTGCAAATTGGAGGAAAGTGTTCCAGCCAGTGATGGGGATCTGCGAACTTTTTGATTTCCGTGCGCGGGACGCCGATTGACAACATGATTTGGAACTGGTAAGTCAGTCCCGTGGATTTTGCAGCAATCTTGCCCTTCGTGGCTTTCCCTACTGCTGCTGAAGGCGCGGCTGGGCCGTTTGGAGCTGTTTTTATTGGTTTGTCGTCTTGCGCCTCTTCATCAAATCGTTCAAAATCTGGGCCGAACATCTCCATCTCACGAATTATCTTGTCAGCAGCCGCCTGTCCGAGAAATCAGAAACCAGATCAACAATCTCCAAAATCCTGGGATCACTCACTTTGATCGGCATACCCGTTGCATGCAAACCATGAGGAAATAAGACACGCTTGCCTAACAATCTCTGGTATCCGGCGGCGAATTCGATTTTCGAGATGGTGAACGCGTGTCCTAGATGTAAAGAGCCGTTCATGTATGGGTAAGGGAAATTGCCAAACCACTTGGGGTATTTATCCTGAACTTGGGCAGATGACAAGCCCTTCAGCTCGTCGGGTGAAGGGGCATTAACTTCGAATATACCCTCCTCCTGCCATTTTGTTTGATATATCTTCTCAAGCTCTATAAGACGATCGCGTTTGCCCGTCTGTTATGCATTCGCCTTGTTAACGGGGGGAGTTCAACATGGAACGATAGGGCACATACCTGGACCAACTCCATAGTGTTCGCCATGATGTATGAATTTCCTCGCGTATAGCGCCGGAGCAGGCGACTCGCAAGTCGCAGAATTGTTGTAATAGATATGATGATCAGTAACTATATAAGTAACTCAAGTTTTTTTGATTAGCCAGTCACAGCGGAGTGAGTCAAGATCTGTAGTTTCGGACCAAAATGCGGGAAAACGCTACTTTCACTACAAAACCATGCAAACATGTACGGCCAGCTGAAAGTACTCAGTAAGTAGTTAGACTCGTGATTGTACAGGTGCCGAGACGTAGCCTGCGGAGTTTCCCGGCACCACACTTCCAGCTGAGCGTTAGCGTATTAATCTTCCTCGACCTACCTACGACGTCGAGCTACACATCCTTCATCCTCTCGCTCGTTATCCTTATCGTTTCTTGCTCCCACCCACCACTCCCTCTTAATAAGACTTTGAACTGTTACTGCTTCGTATCCCAATATTATCACAATCGTTAGAATTGTATAAAGATGCTTATCTCGATTCAAGTTGCACCGCACAAGAGTTAGAGCACGACCGAACTCGTAAGCAGGTTTCCCGTCACGTTTTGTGTACATCAAATTAAGTACCACCCCGCCTGGGGTTAAACGTTAGGCAAGAAGGTAGTAGCAACCGGGCATAGTACATGCCAGCGCATTTTTTCACTCAAGGGGCATGACTGTCAGAGGTGCTGATTAGGTGCTGTTAGGTATTATACGAATCATCGCATGCCAGCATTGCAGTGGATCCCCATTATCCAGATGAATCTCTCATTCCCAAGTACGGGTGGGTCACCAATTCAGTGGTATGGGGCGCTTAAAAAGCCATTCACAATTTGGATGCACCGTGACTAATTCCTATCTTTCTTTGCGCTCACGTTACAGACCATGCTACACTTATTTGACCTGCACATGTCTGACAACGCACAGCTTGTCAGTGCTGGGGCTTGCCTTGTTATAGTGGGAATCATCACTTGGGCTCACCGTCGTAAACCAGAGAGCGACCTTCCTCTCCCCCCTTCCCCTCCTACTTGGAGACTTGGGGGCCACTTTTTGCCGCGTCGCCAGTGAATTTCCGTATGCGACTTTGTGATTTGAAAATACTAATTATTTTCGCCTCCGATAGTTCATCCCTCACGATAGCAGGATGGATTGCTGAGTACGGTCCTCTAATCACCATTCGGTCAAAACTTGAGAAGATCGTTATCGTCGGCCGTTACAAAGTTAGTTCCTACATGCTGGGCTGTATTATCTTGATTCAACGTCCTGTCGCAGGCTGCCGTGGATATCATGGAGAATCAGGGTAGAATCACAGCTGACCGTCCTCGCATGATTGCAGCTGGAGAAATGTTTGGCGGCGGGATGGGCATCGGATTTGCACACTGGGGGGACAGGTTTCGTCGTATGCGTAGGTTGGTAGTCCGCGATACTTTCTTTCGTCTGTCTTACTTTTCAACGTGGTGCAGAGCACTTCACACACATCTCCAGCCTAGAGCGGCTGCAGCATATCAGCCCCTGCAGATGTCACATGCGAAGGATACAGTCCTCGGCATTCTCGATGATCCACATGGCGACTTCCAGAAGCATGTGATAACGTAAGAACTGTCAGTTATACTATACCTCGCTCACAGGTAATTTCAAGTTATGCTGCGACGACAATTATGAAGATTGCCTATGGGAAGACTTCGTCTACATCTGCGACTGATTCTTCGGTCGTTGAAATCCGACAATTCGTCAAGACGATTAGCGCGGTCGTGCGTCCTGGTGCTTATCTAGTGGACTCGATTCCATGGCTCAAATACCTTCCTTGGTATGGGCGAGACTTAAGACAGGGGTTTGAGAGGACCAAGAAACTCAACCTTGGTCAGCTAAACCGCGTGAGGGAGCAAATGGTATACATTCTATTTTGAATCTTGACTTCATGTCTGAGTCGTTCCACAGCAGAGCGACGTGGACATCGGCCCTTCGTTCATGAGATATATCCTGGAAAATCGCCATCTCTATAGTTTGTCAGACACAGAAATGGCCTTTCTCGGCGGTTCCTTTTTTGCAGCTGGATCTGAGACGGTGAGGTGTTCTTTTGCAGCCTCCGAAGATAGTACACGGCTGAAATCGGGTGAAAGACCTCTACGGCGATCTGCACAGTACTCATGGCGGCTGCATGTTTCCCTGAGGAGCAAGCTCAAGTTCAGGCTGAGCTCGATGCAGTCATCGGAAGGCACCGAGGTACCTTTATTCCCTATTGCAGCGCTATGATTCAATAATTTTTGCATGAAAGCGCCGACCTTCGCCGACCAGCAATCCCTTCCTTGCCTGCAAGCATTCATCTCTGAGTCTTTGAGATGGAGACCACCATTGCCTACTGGTGGTATGTATATTGTTTCGATCTTGTGCCTCAATTTCACAACATGAATGCTGCAGCGCTGGCTCACCGAACAACTCAAGACATAATCTGGGCAAGTGATCTTGGACAACTTATCGTGCAAATGATGATCTGGCCCCTCAGGAAAACTATTGTATCCCAGCCGGGACCACGATATTCGCTAATCATTGGTAAGCATCCTGCTCCAAGAAAACTTGCCAAGGATCCGACAGTCACTGCCTTAGGGCCATCTCTCGAGATCCAGATACCTACCCAGAGCCTGACACATTCAAGTCCCAGCGCTGGATTGACGAGCAAGGTCGCCTGCGAGATGATTTTACATTCTTTCCCTACGGCTTTGGTCGGCGGTAGGCAGTATCGTTAAGCATTCCTTCTTTGATTGACATTTCCTTTCAGTGTATGCCCTGGTCAACATGTCGCGCAAAGGTAAAGCCACCCTTCCACGCACATAATCTTCTGAGCTCACTTTGATCAAACCAGATCGGTGTTCATCAACTCGCTCCTTATTTTTTGGGCTTTCCAGCTTACATTGGATCTTACGAAGCCATTGGATGACATGGGGATGATGATCGGGGAGAAATCAGACAATCCCTGTGCTATCAAGTTTAAGACAAGGATTCCGGCAACGGAACTCAGGCTCATGATGCGCAATTATCCTGATGGGAATGCGTGAATGTCACGTTTAAAACCAGTGTTGATTGTCCCTGGGAGCCTTCCCCTATGATAGAAATCACCAGCTAGAATATGCTATGAAATACTATGCGTGTTTCAGTCCATTGTGCGATAATCATTGGTTCAGGTAAAAATGCAAGAATGGCTAAGGCAGACCACCATGCATGGTGGTCGGACAGGAGGGACTGCGGGCAGTGAGAAAGGTGGCGCACAAACGAGAGAGACGGCGCGCAACAAGAGAGGTGGCGCGCAACGAGGGAGACAACGGGCAAACGAGAGAGGGCGTCGATATAAGATCAGTGGCTATGTAAGACGGCGGGCAGACAGACCTTTGGCAGCTGACAGACCTCCCCTGGCAGTAACTAGTGACTCCCGGGTAACCCTGACAAAGACTTGACAGAGACCTAGACAAACCTGGACGCGGAGTCTGCGCAGACTTCCCAATACCCTGACTTTCTGCATTTACCAAGGTCCAGAATGAAGGTATACGGAAACATCCAAGATGATACATGCCATAGTAATATCGATATCGATATATTGGACGGGGTCAGGGACAGTACTGAACTCGAAATAAAAGAACTCGCGCACATCAATGCTGCGACAGAGAAAACAGTGACAGTAGTAATAGTGATACTCCAGGTCGTAGAATACCAATAGGTAAAGAATAAATATAGTCTCGGCGCTAACAAAACAGCAACTCGATAAAGCAAAATCAAAGGAAAGAGATAAATCGATCATGAATGAGTCGTCACATAACATACAGTGTATACAACACGCAAAACTCATGATTCGCCGGTGACGGTGATAGAGGCGGGCGGGTCTTCAGATGGGGCAGTACGCCTAGGGGTGGCGGCGCGTAAACGAACCCTCGACTCTGCAAATGCACCAGGCGCGTTAAAAATAGCTTCTGCAAACGCAAATGCCACTACGATAGACGCTGTCAGAAGGCGCCATTTCTGACCGATAACATCGACGCCTTGGAGGGACACCTCGAGGGCGCGGAAGGGGTAAGCGACATGGGCTGCCAGACGAGCGATAGAAGCTGAGAGGGGATCGAGTGCGATGACTTGTGGGGTTCGGGAGGATGTAGAATTAGCGGGGTGGAAGGAGACGAGGAGGCCAAAGACGAGTGGGATGAAGACGTCGGGTATTGACCAGTGAATTAGGACGGTCCAGAATGATGGTGTTAAGAAAGTGCGAGCGGGGGGATAGGAGATCGCGATGTAAAATTGACTAGGCGAACCTGGCGATAGCTAAGGTGGGATTAGACGCGCGAAGTGAGGGAGAGTACAGGAAACAAACCTCGAAGGTCTGCCATGGAATAACCATGTAGAGAATGTAGAATAGCTCAAGGAGAACAGTAAGGAACCAAATATTGGTAGAGTCCGAGAGGACCTAAAAACACGTGGTTAGTGGGTGATTCTGTACAACAAGGTAAGACTTACGGCACGCGTCGTCAACAAGGTGGTTCGGGTGTTTGTTTGGACGCTGACTTGTAGCTTTGCGAGATATTCACGAGCCACTTGAGCGAGAGGTTTGGAAACTGGACGCGTTTTTTGAATGGGCGCGACAGGTCGGGCGCTTTCTGGTTTACGTTGGGGAGAATGTTTAGCGGACGAGGCAGGGGTGGACTCGGCGTCAGGGGATATGGGAAGGTTTTTGAGCATGATAGACACGTTTCGCATATCGTCGACAGGGGTGGTCTCACGTGGGTCAAGCGGGACAATACGACGACTGCGAGTGACTTGGGGGCTCTGGTGGAGTTTCTCTTCCTGCTCATCTGGTGAACTGGGGACAAAGCGCCTGAGAAAAATATGAGGAGGGAAGTAATAATATTGATGAGACTGACTCTATAGGAGGTTGTACGCTCTTCTTCTTCTTGCCATATAGGCCAGAGAAGGTAGGGTCATCTTCATATTTTGATTGGTGTTGCTCGAGATGACGTTTGATTCTGCCTTGTAGATCCTCTCTTGTTCCAGTATCACTGATGTTCAGAGCTACTGCGATAGCTTGAAGATCGGCCTTCTTCTTTGAAGGAATTGTACCGCTGAATGTGATTGGAGCCATGATAGTTAGATGGAAGTACTGTTGAAGTCTGGACAATTCGCGTCAACAATGTGATCACGTGGAACGCGGCTCGAAGATCGGTTGTATTAGCGGGCCCCTCGACACGGACACTGTGTGAGACACCTGTGTGACGCTGTGTCTATCAAATGAACCAGTGCTACTAGTTATAGCTAGGCTCCGGTAGTCTTATAAGCCATCTCGCAGCGCTTGATACCTTTGTTCTTCACTCCCAGCTTGCTAGTCATGCATTTTGCTTTTATTTCTTTCCTGTTGCTTGCTGGTCAAGGTCAGTCCTGTCACTTGCCTCCATTAACCCTATATTGAATAGAATTATCGTAGCCCTTTCATTGTCTATTGATGTTGGTGGTTCTGTTGGAACTATCGATGCGACCCAATTCCTCAACGTCTCCGATACATACCTTTTGACCGATGTAAGACACACGATCATATCTTTCATATACCCTTCTCACCCTTCTATAAGTGTCAGACTCAATGCTCCAACGCCAACGCTCAAATCTCCGTGTGTACCCATTCTTCCATTAGATCCCTTCCACATCTAATCTCCCTCAGACGTGCACAACCAATGATTCTTGTCTTTGTGCATCCAACACAGTCACCGCCATCACCTCCTGCGAGCAATGCATGTTCGACGACTTGATCGCAAAGTTCACAACTAGCGCCGATCCCCGTGCTGGTTCAACCGCTGCTCTTACTGGTACCTTTCTCACTTTTCTATCGGTACCCTTTATTGATCCCTTCTATCAGCGTACGCCACCGCTTGCTCATCCGCAGGTTTCACAGTCCCTTCCTCCCTCGTTACCTTGTCCATCCCTTCCAATTGGGATGGTCCTCTCGGAGTTTCCCTGAGCACAGCGTCTACTGTCGTGATCGTTGCCATTACTGCAGCCCTAGGTACAGGCAGTCTCCTCCTCTTGTCTAACTTGTGAGGAACCAAGACGTCAGCCTGAGTATTAGCTTGCTCTGCCATTCGTTATATGTTATGTATACTTGATGGAATAATACATCACGCCTGTCGTTTCACCAAACGGATGAATTCAGTCACTGAAAACACTGCCCCTTCTACAAAATGATAATAGGTGTTGGGATGGAAACACAACTGCCTCAATGATTCTTCAAAGGGAGAGCTGCGGAGTGTGGCTGAAGGAAGAAGCATGGCTGATGCAGCTACAGTTGTTGGGAAGAAATAACCGATTTCGGTTCGAAACCGCACAACTGCAGCTGCAGTGCAACTCAAAACTGTATCCAGTAAATCAATGTTGGATACTGCCTCGAACGAGAGGTACGCCCACCCGCCCATGGCACTGTAAAGAGGAAGTGTCCAGAAACATTAAAAACGCATGTCATTTCCTCTCATAATCTTTCGAAAGGTCGATCTCTCCCTTCAAATGCGTATTCGTAATCTTCGCTTGTCTCTGCCGCGGTGCCGAACGCTTTCCCTTCTTCTTCATATTCGATGGCGCCTTCGGGATCGGCGTCTCTTCCGCAGTAGCTTGAAGCCCCTCTGTATCGTACATGTCAGACACCAAACGAAGATATGACAATAGGAGGCACATACCAGCATGCAACGCCTTCAACAAATCAACATCATTAGGCACCTTCAGCGAATGCCACAAATCAAAGAATTCTGTCCAAAACAAAAAATCAGCACGATGCATCACACAATACGAGACTCACCCTTCTCAACATGTTTCCCCCCACTCTCATCATCCGGCTTGATCTCATTCCAAAATACCATCCGCAACTGACCATCTTTCACAGTCCTCGTAACAAGCACCTCTCCCTCCTTCTCCAGCTCCTCAATAGCCTGCGGTGCCTCTTTCCAAGACTCCTTGAGCGCACGCACAGGTATCCCGCCCCCTTTCCTCGTCTGTCGCTGGATCTCTGTCAGGAGCGCCACTTTGTTCCGAAAGCTGAATTCATGCTGTGTCGCGTCGATGAGTGGCTGAGAAGAGAAGAGCTAGCGAAATAGACATACACGATACGAATATAAATCAGTCTTTGGATCCCAAAGAATCTTATCATGCGACTTGAATTTTTCGAGTAAGACTACATCAGTCTCGAGCGGCGTATTCGTTACGATTGCAATATCTTGAAGGCGCATGGGATTATGCGTCGACTACGTACATCCACAAACGATCTCAATAAGCAAGAAAAGAAAAGATAAACGCAACACGTACCTTGAGATGATCAATAGCATACACAAGTTGCGTATTCACATTCGTCCCCGTCCCCGTATCCGCCGGCTGTGAATATACGATATCTATAACAAGAACGACAAAAGAGAGTGAAACAAGTTATTATATACAAACAGCACAACATACTGGTTTTTGGCCGTTTCTTCTTCGTGCTAGGCGTGGACGTTGATTCTGCCGTTGTAGGCGCGGGTGCAGGTGTAGAAACAGAGGCACTGGCAGAGGAAGAGGAGTTGAGTGGTGCAGGTTGCGAATGCCATGAAGTGTAATCTTGACGATGGAGGGCGCGTTTGAACGAGTCGGCATCTTTTGTGAGAGACATGGTGGGGAAGAGAACAAGAAGTCTTGCCGTTGGCTCGACTCTGGGCCACGTGATCTAGAAATCGATGAACCCATCACACCTACGCAGGCTGAAAAACTGGACCTTCGTATTGCTCATATTGTACATGATTATCTTCGGTTTCCCTTCTCCTTCAACTCTGGTCTCCTCTCTTTGCCTATTGCACTTTTCGATTTCGGCTTCCCTAGTATTTCACGGTTGAATGCTTCTGCTGCCGTGACGGGTCTCCAGCGTGACCTGAACCGTCCCATCGATGCCTTTCGTACCATGGCGCGGATCACACTCACAGACTGGTCACGCATGCTGGATGGTTGTCGCTACCCCTTAGCGAGATCGTCTCATCACCAGTCCTTTGTTCGTGCCCATGAACGCCTCCCCTGGGCGTGGATTTTGGCACGAGAAACCCTACTTAACGTCAATTGCTCGATTGTGCCCACTGATCAGTCTCACCTGCTTGAGGGGCGCGTCAGCATGCACCATATCCTAAACAGTTCTCCATGGCTCACTTCGTCCTTCCCGAGCGCTGCCTTGCCAGCACTGACACGAAATGGTTTCACACAGCTCTCTCACTTCGGATCTTGGTCTGCACAAAATACTGTTTGGATTTGTCCTGGTGTAGTCCCGTATGAAATATACTATCAGCACGGTCTGAGAGTTCTCAAGTTCTCATGAATGTGTTCCACCGTGACACTTTACACACCGACTAGGTACCTCCAATATCCAACATAAGAAAGTGAACTCATTTCTCACTTGAATTGCGCAATAACTGCTACGACTTCTTTGTTGATTCTTTACGCCACCTGACAAAACATGTTCTAATCATAGAATACCAGAGCTCTCACTTCGATGGATTCCCGAGGCGGCGTTCCCTCTGGAGTGTTTGGGTCTTGGAAGCCAGTATGAGGGGTAAGTATTGCAACGCTGCCATCTTGCATCGAGTCGGAGCTGAGACCCATTAAGCATGACGGAAAGCTCCCCCAAGTTATTTCACTCACCATTTGATAAGAACATACTCTTCTGGGGTCATTGCCTTCATGTATTTCCACTGGTGGTTTGGGTTGTATTTGACTCCAAATGTCTCACCCTCACGGTCAGCGTATACATGAGCGACAGGCACCAAGTCTTTCTCGAAATCAACACTCCGGAAGTCACATAGTGCAAGCGGCCAATCTACAGCTGCATGTGATATGGGACGCCAAAGGTTTATTATTTGGAAGCGTCTGCGAAGGAGGGAAGGAGCCTCTGTTGGTGGGAGATGCCTATGGACACGGCCGGTGGACGCCGTAGGCGTTTGGTCAACATGAACCCGGGAGACTGGTTGACGTTTCTGTGGGTTATGATTATCTATCTCGCCTGGACGACGGCGACGAATAGCTGTGACATGAATTAGGGATCAAGATGTCGTCTCAAGTTGGTGGTCAACATACTGTGATCGAAGATGACAATTTTGGATGCCCCCGTAACCCTCTTGATGAGGTCGATGCTCTCGGGGTAGTATTCGCGCTCAATCTCATCATCATTCAAGAAACTGGTATGCTTCGCTGCTTCTCGCCCATACTGAAATCCGGCATTGTCGAGCTTGTAAAGTTCTTCCTTTCCACGGACGTCCCCAACTTGCATATCATGCGGGTCGTCGATCCAGTTGCGAGTCGGCTTTCCTGTGGTGCTGTCTGCATAGACTCTATTATAGGGCCGAGAGCCGTCAGATGGAGGGAGGAAGTAGTTGAGGGTGCTGATGGTGTCAGAAGCCATGATGAGTCCGTTGGTGCTGGATGTGAAACGGAATGTAAGCCTCCTTGGTACCACGAGTAAGTTATACTTATATATGTCTCCAAGGGCTGGGGAAGCCGTTTGGCTTACATATCATATCTCCTGACTGAGTGCTGACTGATTGTCAATGTGAATGACAATATCTCATACACATGACTATGACGCCACCGAGCTGCAAGATGAGTCGATGAGTGATGCTCCAAAGTTGTAGAACCTTACTAATCAGTGAATCAGTGAGTCCGTGATGTTGTAACTATGATGGTTATAGTAAGACGTAATTCTGCTCAGGACCACCGCGCGGCGCTCAGCTGTAATTGGAGTGAATGTGAGTTCGCTTCTCGAGTACCTCGTACACCGCAGAATTTCAGTGTTTCGATCTTCTCGTTTTCCGGAGACTTCCGCCCCTGTCTTTTGTCAATTTGGCTCTCGGCTAAAGCCGAACACCCCTCCGCGGAACTCGTATCTCGTCTTCACCACTCGAAGGAGTAGCCATAAATTTAGAGGGCATGTACACCGGACTTTGAGGCCAAATAATGGCAACTATTATTTTTAGGAAACGCGAAGTAATCAGACAATTATCCTGATCTACGCTGAATCCTTTGTGTTCGTCAAATAAACCATGATAACTTCTGGACTTCACAAATGTGACTCGATAAACTTGAACTTTGCTGAAATTTATGTAAGTTAGAACCCTCTGCCCTAATCGGTACACACAGCCCATCTTTGTCTCTCACCGCAACGTCGTCAACGGATGCTAGTGGCTAATACTGCACATAATACACACAGCAGCCTCAACACATGGTGAGCTATGATGCATCGGTGAGCTTGCTGTGCAGTGTTCTATGGATCCGAGAGTGCTCATGGTTTCAAAACTTTTGATCAATAAGCATGAGTGTGAAGACCAGGAAGAACAAACTTCGATACTCTCAATCAAGTGGTACTAGGTACCTTCTTTTCACTGCGTGCGAGGCTTATTCATCAAGCGCAACAGCCTGAGGCCTTGTTGATTCATGTCACTACTGTAACTGTCAGTCTGTCCTCTTAATTAGCTCGATGTAATTGAATGTATGCGTCTAGATCATCGTCCATTTCCTCCTCTTTTGCTGGACTACCATTCTGGACGCTGCTGCGACATTCTCAGGCTGGTGAGTGCCTCCGATTCTGACTCTGTGATAGTCATTCCCGGCGGCTCAAATGCTTGGGTTTAGTTACAAAATCTTGCAGGCCCAGACCCAATCCCTCTTCCACCTCTGACAGGGCACATTCATTTTGCTCCAGAGATGTTAGGTACAGTCTGGCTTCCCCTCCACTGAATCACGCCCACAACTGATCTTGGCTTGATTGTACTGGGCGGCTTGAGAGCCGCAACGCTGCAGGGTTTTTATGGTGCAAGACGAACAGCACCCCTTCCTGTAGGTTGTGCTCGTTTCGAAATGGACACATTCGCTGTGGTTTCCAACGCCCACGTCTTTCCTGACTTGGAATCTTGATGGACCAGAGGATTTTTTGGGTGCGTTCCGATGCAGTCTTGCCATATCCATGGCTTTGAATGGCTGTTGTATGTGGATACTGAGCTCACAAAAGATCGGGAGGCAGCAGAAGCAGCTGGTAGGATGGAATTGATGTAATTGTCGGTACCTAGCTGGCGGATCTGTATTGCTTCGAATAGCAAATATAAATGGCATTGAATATTCAAGGAAAATTAAAGACTTTATTCAGAGGATATGTGCCGTAAACTGTGACTAAACATGAGATAATTGTGTTGTCGTTATTGTATGTTTATCTCCTGTTTATCTGCTGATAATTTGGAATTTCCCCCACATATTCCTCTGCCATTATTTCACCTCAAAGTGCGGTGGTATTAGGAAATGGCCGGTCTGTGTTAAGTCTGCGCAGACTCCGCCTCAAAGTCTGGGGGACACATCTGGGTGTGTTTTGTCGGCAAGCTCCGGGTTGTCTGACATCATCACTCGGAGCCACCACTACGCCAGCCACTGTGACACTAATCTCATCAGCTACCCCCGTCAGTGGCTAGCCACCCCTGCCATCTACATCAACCACCCCGTCAGCACTTCAGCCACCCCTGTGTCACACAGACTCACACTTCAGTAGGTGCAATCAACGACGAGTCCGATTGATGACATTCCGCAGGATGGCACCTGGAATACTTGGCGGCTGTAGAGCTGTAGTCGATGATATGTTGTCTGTAGGCACGGCGGGTTACGTGAAATGGCGGGAGAGGCTGATGGCGAGATGGCGGGGGACTGACACTAAATTATGACATAATACAGCGGGCAGACAAACATAGACTTCCCGGCACTCTCCGGACAACTGCTGGCAGACCTGTCCCCCAGACTTTAACACAGAGTCTGTGACTTGTCTGTATAGACCTCACGCAGACTGGCCAAATCCCGCACTTTCTGTAAATTTAGTTTTCGAACTTGATATCAAGTGCGTGCCTTACAAATAACCGTGTCTGGTTATTTGTGATTCAATTTGATAGCTAAACGTAGCAACTAGCTATAGTAAGCGACGGCGCGAGCCAAGCATCTCACAACTTCAAGTGAACCAAGAATCAAAGCAAATTCTATTCGAGACAGTGCATTCCTTCACTCCCTCCTGCACGTCTCCCGCTGATTATTCCCCATGCACTAGAAAAGCAAGCACATCAGGAACTCGGACTCGCCAAGACAACGAGAAAAGACAGACTCACCCAAGTACTGTCGTGTCATCAAAGCAAGCCAAAAGCTCAAAACCCGGGAATGAGGTCCCCCAATTTGTCAAGCAACTTGCAGCAATCCTTGCACTTGAGGGGCAACCAGAATGTCATTTTGCTGTCACTTCCGCAGACATATATGAAATCGTCGCCATTGTTATAAGTGTCGACGCCATCTGAGCACCCCACTTGTTTGGTAGACGGCAATAAGCATGTAGTCTAAGGTCTGCATGCATGCTCCAAAGTACTCACCCACTGTGGTGCAAGCTAGTGTCGGCCCATTCGAAAGTGCCCTTTCAGCGGAGGCTCCTCGGCCCACTGGGCCTCCTTGGGAAATTGGGGCGACTGGGATGGATGCGATAACTATGCCAGCCATTGCTGTGGCAGTAACGATTACACTGGTGAGTGAAGTGAATTTCATGGCTGAAACGCTGAAACTTGATGGCGTTTTCTGAGTCAAGTACGTCGACTTTTATACATGAATTATAAGGTGCAGCCAAACAATTTGCATGTGCTCGCATCACGAGACAGATGCTAGCTCACGCACTATGACATAATTTTCTTGAAGGCCTCAAATTTTGTGCCGGACGCACTCCACGAGTGCGTTTGGTACGGTTTAGTGAGTGTCGGTCCATGATGATGATGATTTATTCATCCAATTCAGATTTGCAGGATGGGGCAGACGAACTCACTGACCATACACATGTAAACACTCATTAGAGCGATGCTCAGTGTTCGCATGACTTTGCCACCAAGCAGAATATACTGGTGCCAGGTCAGTGGTTGTGACGGCGAGCATTTCCGAAGATGCCAAAAAAATGTCGTTGATATCGGTTGCGGAATAAAACCTTTTGGTATCATGAGTCACGAGCTAATCCACCCATCACTGGACGTATTTCTGATATTATCCAGCAGATCCCAGAGTACGCAGATCTTGAAAACGTGTACTTCAATATTTGCAACACCGATGAACCTACACCAGGATTCACATTGCCAGTACTGGATAAATAGGCACGGGCTTATTGTGTATTGTACACGTTATAGATGAGTTGGCATGACTGCGGTACTACAGACTTTGATGAATTGCTCGCATACGTTATCTATCAACAAATGACTGCATCAGTCAGATCTCAGTCTCGGGGAACTAACAGCCGCTATCGCCACCCATGACGGTTTCGCGACCGTTTGTTAAGGTGGTCAGGTGGTGCTGTAACTTAAACTCGTCAATGTTTTTGCAAATGAATAACCGGGTAGAATACGTGAGTAGCATTGGCGAGAAGCACCCTGTTTCCGTGAGATCGGGGACCAGAGTTGCTGCATATGCAGGAAACGGCAGAATTCCTGTCTCAAACCTATATACTTGTAGAAGCACTGAATTCAGTGTCCCATTTGGAATGGGATGAAAGAAGCATATGATAAGCATGCATGTACTTGTGAAACTGAGAACCCAGAAGTTGCAGCAGGACATTCCTCAACCTAGCGCTGACTCGCTGTAGTGTGAATCGTCTCATGAAGGACAACCCTGGATTACCGAGGTGAAGCGCCGCGGTTTAACACTTAGGCGTTAATGGAGCCTGTAAAATGAATCTGGAAGTAGAGGTGGAGAGTGTACGTACGGTTGAGATGAAGATGCTATTTGGACAAGCCAGAGCCATTTACCTTGCAGCATGTATTTAGGATAAAGGGAGCACACGACAGATATGGACGTACTTGAAACTGGGGACCCATACGTTACAAGCATTGAATAATCAGTACGTGCTATGACTACGTCGTCCCCGTCGGAGGACAACCGGCCCCTCCAGCCCATGGCGCAACCACAACACAGAAGGTTAACGAACAAGGACAAGCTTGCCTAGTAATTGCCTCGAAAAGCATGATTAGGTGGTGCAGGAGAGGCCTCGAAATCTAGATTTGTTGGATAACTTGAAGGTGAGTATATCGTCCAAACACCAGAGTGAATACTGGGTCCATTTTGTATTGTATCCTACGCCAGCTCCATTTCCAAGCGACTCGATGATGTTCCCCGATATGTTTGTGCCTGCTCAAATATAATCAAGGCCAGGCTGACATGGTTTCGGATATGACATGGCACAAGTACCTGGAGGAGGCTAGCATGGAGGACGAGAGACAAAGAATATGCACTGGTCGAGTGCTAAGTTACATGGGCACAGTACGTCAATTGTGCCAGCTATACCTACAGCGAGCGCTCCGTCTCTACCTCCCAGCGTTCGTCGCTTGGACAGGATCCGCAGTCTTGCAAGACGAGCACAAGAGAGTGGAATCCTTGCGCAAAGTTGGACGCCGCGAACCATCCAAACCTAGTATGGTACGTGTTCAGAACTGCACTTTTACGCACCTGTTTGACATGGCCCTGAGAGTTTACAGGACAACGATTCTCTGTCCTTTCCGGTTAACAATCCTCCCATTCCTACGAGGCCCAATATTGATATCTCATCCAGAGTGCAGTACTGCCAAAATGCAGGAAACCATGGAGTTTGTGCACCTACTCTTCTCTGAAGAATGTGCGCCCATTAGACATCGACGTGTTCCACAGACTCGGAGGGTCCAGAGAGGGAGGAAAACAAGATAGTCGTTGGCTGATGTACCAGTTATACATGTGAATAAAATAACAAGGAAATGGTTGTGAACCTATACAACTTGATATGAGAGTCGAATGTAGAACTGATATAGGAACGCTTGCATTGGCGCGTTAAGGCTCGTCACAGCCGCGTCACGACCGCGTCAAGTTACAACCCCCCTCTTGATCACACATAGACATGGCATCTCAAGCAGCAGCAGCGACCATCCTCGACTCAGTCATACTAAAGATTCTACACGCTCACAATTTCTCGAGGTCATCGTCACAGGCATCCATCGTTCTTGCCAGCCTCGTTTCTCGCTATCTCGTTCTACTATCTTCTGTCTGTGGCAATTATGCCGAACTTTCAGGACGCTCACGAATATCAGTATGGGATGTGTTGAGCTCGTTAGAAGATTTAGGTGTGAACCTGGAAGAATTAGACGAGTATTGTGTTTCTGAAGGGAAGGACCTGGGGAGGTATGCGAGCAGCAGTGCCAGGAGGCTCGACGATCTCTTAGAATTCAGAGGTATCTCTCACAAATTCTCCTGTTCTTCGTTTCATTAAACACAGTCGTTATTACAGGATATCTACAGGAGGGCCACGAAGACGATGCGATACCTTTTATCGACCCGCAACCTTTGTTAGACGACTTTGACGACTACGATGACTTATTCGATCGCTCAACTACCCCAGATTTCCTCCCTCCACTCCCAGATGACACGTCACGCCCGCGAAGCGTATCGCCAACGCCAACCCCTCACACTGTGAAGCTCGAAAAGCCACCCTCACTTATCCCACAGCACATAACCTCCAACACCGTTTCCGACTACGTGACACAGGTCAACTACTCAGAATCGGTCCTAGCTACTACCCCAGAGTGGCACCTCCCCTCGCGCCCACCAGCTAGTGCCCTCTCCAGAAAACAGCCACCTCACCTTCCAACCCCCCAAACAGCACAAGCGCTCCTCCAAGCATATCATCATATCCTCACGCACCCCGTCCCCCCTCCCGTCCCACCAAATCCCTTAAAGCATAAAGTCGCGACGATGCTCCTGTCCCAAGTACAAAACAATCCACGGTGGAACCCTCCAGATACGCTATACGCCAACATCGTACCCTGCCCACCTCGCGTCGCAGCCATCGGCCCTTCCTACCCTGTCCCGCAGTCGACTCTGGACGACATACGTGCAGGAAGAGACGACAAGGAGTCCAACAACAAACCTATATTTCCCTCTGCGCCTCCCCGCCCTGTATTCTCCGCAGACAAACCCGTTTTTCTTGTGTCTCAGCAATCTTCGCGTCTACCAGATCTCGCGCGTCAAATCTTGCCTGTAAGTCGTCATTTTGCACGTTTGTTTGATGTCTCACGATGGCGCCGCTATAGCCCTCTGTGCTCGCACGCACCACGCGTCTCGCACACCCACCCGTATTACAGCGGGGCAACCAGAAACTACATTATGGCACCGGTGTCAGCGCCCCTTGGAACTCGTCTACATCAGGGGCGCCTACTGGCGGAAAAGGTAAAGACGAGGGTACAGCCAACGGACGCAGCAACGAACCTCCAACATTCACATTACCCGACGCACAAATGTTCGCTACGTGGGATTTCGAGGCAAAGAGGCCGCAAGAGGCGTTAGTAGTACGCAGAGGGAGGGGTGTACCCGCATCTGGGGTGACACTTTCTATGGGGAACCGTAAAGGGTAGTGCGCTCCTCAGGTTAGCTGACTATTCTACACAACGAAGACCTTAAAGACGTCAAATCAGATATAAGGTCCATCATATATTAATTGGGGGAGATATACGATGTGCTAGGTGCTATGCATGTCACACCTGTACTTCAGTAGTCTCGACTTTTACGCTTTTCTTATCCTCGCCCCTCAGTACCACTCTGCACTGTTTCTATGGGAGATTTCCTGTCCTCGTCATATTGCTTGTCTATGGGCAGGACGTGATCCGCAGAGATTAGGCCATCAACAAAGGTATCATGAGCAGGGAACAAGTACGATGCAACGTAATACACCAGTGATGCAACAAAAAACTATTATAATGTGAGCAAAACACATGTGAAGGAGATCAGGAGTGCCGTACCCCATACATCCACGCGATGTCAAATAGATGGGTTGCGTACCCTATCTTGATAGCTGGATTGATCGCATTGATAAGGCCGGGAAGCGTGGGGGCAACAGTTACTATCATCGCCAGCACTGCACGCCAGTTCTACATAAGCAGACAAATATATCATGAGGCAGAACATAGCGAGCAGCATCAAAGCTTACAAATCCCCCAGTGTAGCGATATCGTCCTGAAGGGTCATACATAGCGGGAACATCGACGCAGCCTTTATGCACCAGGTAAAACTGTGCAACGCAAAGTGTTAATCGAAGACTAGGCACGAGCGGGTATGCTTGTAAATTGTACCCACATCAGTGACCATGATACCAGCAAAAGGGCCAAGGAAAATGGTGTATCCATCCATAAAACTCAAGAACCCCGTGGCACTATCGGTGGATGATAAGGGCTTGACAAAGGTAACATATGGCAAAGACTTACTTGGCGAGAATCTCCCATGGACACAGAGCCCAGCCACCAATAATCGCACACAATATTTGTCCGCGCCTGATATTAATGTACTGTTTGAAATAAGCAATTGTCTGTGGAGAGTATAGACGACGCTAACCTTGGGACACAGAGCTGTCATATCATTTCCCGCCCCGAGCGAATTGGCGCTGATGTTGGTACCAATAGTCGTCAATGCAAATACAAAGGAGGCGAAAAACGCTGCAGCCCGATTGTCCCAACGATCGATTAACAGAAGAGGGTTCCACAGGACCTCGCCGTAGAGCTGTATTCCAGCACTAGTCACAGCAATTCCAACAAAGCTGCACAGCGTAAATGCGATGGGTATGATGAACGGTTGGACATATTGACTAAAAACCCATTAGATAACAGCGTCGATCTCAGATTGGAATTCATACGCTCGTTCATTCTTGGCGTAGCGCTGCAAGTTTTTGTAAGTCAATGTGGTAGAAGACATGCAAATTCATCTGACTTACAGTAAAATCGGGAATGTTGACCGACAAACTGGCATAAATTCCCAAGGCGCTGTTCATCGCACTGAGCCATGCCCATGAAAAGTTGCTGCCCTCGATAGCTGCATGCTGGGAAAACAAGCCCTGTGAGGCGGGGACCTTAACAAATGCCCATATGATCATTGCAAGCCATGCTATAGGTGTGAGGACACCCTTTGCGAAGAATAACCAACGGATTTTGTGAGGAGTTACGAAAAGAAACGGAAACTGGATGAGCCAATAGAGAAAGTAACACAAAAATCCTGATAAATTGTTTGGGTAAGCATATAACAAGGGCAGCAGGGGAAATGATGCACCAGAGCTGGTAATATTCGCGGAGACTGGTAATTGATTGGGCATCCTTGCAATCGAAGGCCAAATGGCTTTAATCATCTGAGTCATATTTCGAGTCAATATGACCAAAGATTAATAGAGCACGATTCGATGTACCTGATACACGCATTGCGACCCGTTGTATGTCTAAATGCATGCATGAGGATTCCTGTCACTTATCGCACACCCATAATCATTACCTGTATACCGAACCAGAACATGGATAACAAGACGCGACTGAAGACGGTGAAGTAACTGAACCAGAAGCCGAAAGACGATCGATTTAATACAGGGAAGGCAACATGGAGACGAGCGCCTATTGTGCCGGTCAAAACCATCACTACGGAGATAATCGCATATGCAACCGCAATACATGGCAAAGCCTGACGCCTAGCAGTTAATGCAACGTCAGATAAAATGTGCTGTTAGAGTGGAAAACTCGTTCGAGTAGTCATACCAAGATAAACCAATTGCAAGCATGGAGCTAGCCAACTCCCAAACTGCGAGATTGGTAGCATCAGAGATCCAATAGGATATCTAACAAACACTCATTAGTAAATTTCACTGTGGTAATCATCATGGAATGTCCTACATAATTCCAGGTGCTATGAGGAGTCGCCGAGGTTATGAAACAGCTAAACGGTCAACAACTATCGTGCTTACGTCCATGTTCTCAGACGAAGAGGTACCGGATCCATGTCCTTGTTGCTCCATCCATTGTTCGCGAAAGTCGTTTCTTCACGTTCGAGAGCCCATCTGGAAGGCTTGAAGAAATCGACCAAAACCCCGCTTTGCGGCATGGTTGGCAGCCAAGAACAAGAAAGAAGTTCCTGATTTCAAGTCAGTGAGCGTTTCAAGATATACCTCCACACGAGTGAACAAGTGACCTCCGCACTTATTTATATTGAGATAAGAGCTGAAAAGTTCACAGACTATCATATTGGACGCTGAGTACTAGCTAATCAGCGACAGCCAAACTGCCATCGAACTTGCAATGAAACCCAAAAAGGATACCTGACTAATTGACATTTGCACTGAACCACGTGAAACATATACATTCTGTCTCACAAACGGTCAGCCTGGCCTATGATGCCGGCCTTGCTTCCTGCACCGTAGCTCTCAGTGTGACCATTTTTTTCTTCAAACCTCCCTTTCATTGAACCGCTGTAGACCAGCGTATTTGGTACGATCAACTCATGTCCGACCCATTCGATGTTATACCATTCGAGGTACGTGCTACTCATATAAGTAACCCTAAACCACACCCACCTGTCTTATCGAAAGGACATCAAGGGGGAGTGGAAGAAGTTAGGATCAGGTTCTTTTGGGAATGTCTATAAAGGTATCTCATTCAATCTAATACCTATCCAAGCTAACAGATGTACAGGATCATACCTGGGCATTGATGTTGCAATCAAAGAAGTCCTGCCATCCAGCAGTTACAACGTCGCCAAATATTTTGAGAGGGAATGGAGGTTAATGAAGTAAGCTTGCAGACCTAGATACAGACTGTCGTTGAGCGTCGCTTCAGAGAAGCTCGTCATCCAAATGTTGTGCTTTACCTCGGCTTGTCGCGTGCCCCGCCTCCAGATGGACGAATATTCATAATATCAGAGTATATTGAGAATGGTGCGTTCAGTTTTTGAACTTTATCTCCCACTTCTCTTTATACTGTCCATTCAGGAAATCTCAGAACATACATATTCGATAAGACGAAACCTTTTCCATGGCGTCTCCGGCTTTCTTTTGCTACAGACATTTCCCGTGCTCTAGCATACCTTCATGCACGCAAGTGCATACACCGGGATTTGAAAGGCGAAAATCTTCTTGTCACCGCAAACGGCAGACTGAAGATCACCGATTTTGGTTTCGCTCGGATTGCCGCCCGCAATGAAGAGGAAAGCAAACGTCTCACCTTCTGCGGGACTGACTCGTATATGTCACCCGAAATTCTACTTGGGGAGGAGTTCGATTTGCCCACAGACATTTTTTCTCTTGGCATCATCTTCTGCGAGATCGCCGCGCGAAGGCTAGCCGATGACCGCCATTTCAAACGTACTGGCCCAACGTTTGGCGTTGACCCTGAGGAGGTGCACCGGTGGGCTAGCCCCGGTTGTCCACCGGCGTTCCTTGCTCTTGCATTCGACTGTCTTGCTCAGGATTCAAAGGCACGCCCCACCACTCGCGTTATTTTAGAGAGGCTAGGCGAAATCGAAACGGAGGTTTTGTCACGTCCAGACACCGAAGACTTTCACGTTGGGAGTATCAGGCTTATGACAGGAGGCAGACGCCCGGGTGCTGCTCCCCGCATCCCAAGTTTTGGGGCTGGTGTTGGGAAGGACATCAGGCACAATACGGCCTCCGTCAAAGAGGATGTTCTTGCGGCCCTGTCCAGCGGCGAGGAAAGTAGCGACGAAGAGCCCTTGGGCGCCATGCAAAGTCTGGATCCAAACAGCGATTGGAGCACGGCTGCCAACGGTAAGATTATCGTTCTAGAGTTATGACGACGTCTAGTAACGTGCTTCGATTGTTGACACTCAGGACACTCGGGTGATAGCACTCAACCTCTTCTCGTCAGTAACTCTAGTACATTGTCAGAATACAGCGCCGCCGTCGACCGGGCCCATGTTCCCACAACTACAGATGACGTGGCGACATCTTTGTCTTCCATTATCACTATTCGACCTGCACTTGACCCAAACGGAACGGCGGAGCCCACTACCCCAGGTAGTAATACTCCAACGAGCAGCGACTCCATCATGTCTGCGCAGAGTTATCAGACTGCTCAGTCATCCATCCAGTGTTCTACCACAGCGACGAAAGGCCACTCCTCCATCGATTCTCCCCCCATGCTTCACCGCTTTACTTTACTGAAACCTGGCATAAAGCGTACCAGCGGATCAGTATCGCCAACACGTCATGCCGACGGAGGGTGGAACCCGTTAGAACTGATCTTCTCCAGCGGATTACTCGTGCAGAAGTGTGATATATGTTCAAAGAGGATTGGTTGGAAACCTGTTTTGCAATGTGACGATTGTGGGCTGCGGTAGGTTCCTGACCTCTGATTGTAGCGTATCTGATACATGACTGCTATAACTGCAGGGCTCACGTGAAATGCGGAGAAGTTGCTCCTCGTGATCGTAATATTCATTCGGTAATTCAACCAGCCCTGCACACATCATCGCCCCTGTCAAAGGGAAGAAGCCAATCAAAGAGAGTATCCTTACCCACTTCGATCACGCGATAGGGACCCTGCATATTCTATTCTATCATCGCTTAGTTTTCTAGATTTCTCCTATCAAGCCGCATATAATAGTAAGTTATATCCATCCGACGATAAAGCACACTACGTCACTGCCGAGTTACTCGGTATCCTTGCCTTGTATCTGTTTACCTATATTGGTGTATTCCCAGTGTCCTGTACACGTTATCTGATATTGATGCAAATAGCACTGGTCCACTTGGAGCTCTGGCCGTTATCATTTTGCCGAGTGGCAAAAGTCGTCGACTACACGATTGTGCCAACAGAGTTCGCATACACGATGTCCTTTCACACGTTTGCCCATAATACTCCAATGGGAGATTATGCATTCATGTGCGTCGATTCTTGATGCTTTGATCTGTTCAGAAACATTCAATCGACGCAGCTTGTGTCATTCCGATTCATGGACAGACTATGACCGATTAATTTTTAAACCTCTGCCATATGACGCGTGACAGCGCAGGCGCTAGACAGTAGAACCCGGGGAGATGCGGCGGCAGAACTCTAGATATCACCGTGATCGGATGACGAGCCAACTCAATTGACGACTTGCCGGCATCTGATACCGAGGTTGCCAAGACTGATTTCACAATATGCTCCAAGTGCCTCCCGTGTCGGCAGAAACTTGAGGCAATAAATTGAGTTAATTCTCTGCAGTGACAATAACATGCATGAGAACAGGCTGTAACCAAAGACAAAACTCATAGATCCGTAGTGCATGCTGAGGCCGAGGATTGACCGAGATTAACACGGTATATAATTGAATGGTTGACATTAAAAGAAACAACTTGTATTAAAGGGACTATAACGTCAATAAAATGTGAATGTACGAACCGACATGAACAAGTTCTGTATGCATCTAAAATCGTACCACCAAAAAATATTATTATAGCGCTGTAGCATAGATGTCTCCACTTGCCATCAGAGTATATGTCGAGGTATGTTATAGCTCTGTTTGATTGCCGACTCATTAGGATCGGCATCGCAGTGGAGCAGAGAAGGAAGTTGCCGAAAGGGTCCTCGAGCCCAGAAACTTTGTTCTGTGAATTCAACTTAAGCTTCAAAATATATCTCGTTAATCACGAGTTCGCTTAGGCTCGACTAAAAGAGTATTGGAATGAGAAAGAATTGGACTGGGAGAATGGGACAGAGGTATCTATAGAAGGGAGAGAGAGCATTCGACTTTGCAAATCTGATGCCGGCGGGCTAGTACTAGTGCTGGCAGATCATCGATCACGAACCACAATGCAAGGACTTGGACTGGCTAATTAATATTTACAATATTCAGGCTAGTGCACTAATCAATATGCTTTGGAGTGCCATTAAATATTTTTTTTTCATTAATTCCACACTGACTGGCAGAAATGGGTTCTACTATGTTCTACCAAAATAGTTCCGCTTCACTTGATCATTGAAGGGTGTATCAAAGGTGCATCAGATATTACATCAGTAACAAGGACCTCAGCCACTGCTTGGTAAGCATATTTCCTCGTCATTCTGGTTTTCTTGTAAATATCTCGATATAACCCCCGCGCGCACTTATTCTGTGCTGTTCTGTTCGCGTCACCTTAAACGTCCACCGCCAAGCTAGCTGCTCCGAATTCTGTGACCCCTCCGCGCTTTCACTTTCTATGGCCTACGGACATCAGTACCGACGGACGGACCTCCATTGCGGTTACCGCTGCGCATTCCTTGGGGCAGTGTTTCCCCATACCTTCTTGGCTTCTTCACGTGCCTCCATCGTGTCTGCCACCCTCTTCATATGAAATTTCAAGGGGTGTTATCTTCTTGATAATGTTTTATCCTTTACCAAATGTGAAGTTTTGATCATGAACCAAACCAAGTCTTCGGTCTGCTGTGTGAGATGAAGATGCAATTATGACAGGAATATATGTAGAGGTTGATACTTAGTAGTATGAACGAGGTGGAACTGCAAGTTAGGAGAAGACATAGTAGAACTTACTGAAGAATGCGATGGCCGTGCCAATAGCGGTAACTGACGATGGGAAGAGATGTCGAGTGTGATCCAGGGATCTGGCACTAGATCTTGCCACGGACGTACCGGGCCCAGTACTGTCTTAATGCGCTGCGACGGCGTAACTCGCAGGTCCCAGGAAGGAGGAGGATGCAAATTGAGAATGGCGGCACTACTATCCCTTCCACTGCAATCGGCACCCCACAGAAGTCGGCAGGTCACACATTTTGGCAGGAAAACGTTATGCTTTTGTTACAATTAGTCACATTCCGTCACATCAAACCCTGCGAAAAAGCGTGACTGCCGACTTCTGTGGGGTGCCGATTGCAGTGGAAGGGATAGTAGCATTGGAAAAAAATGCTGCCGCGACCTCGGACATGTAATGATGTAAGTTTCGTACCTTTTTCTGGCACAGTTTCCGGGGTCCAACCTTTACTAAATAACGTCAGTCGAGAAGGAGCCCGGAATCAACAGTGTTAACTACATATGTCATGATCATGATACAACACCCATTGGAAGCCGATCTGGAACCGCATCTTAGACCGCTAGTACTACATAATATCTGGTTTTGAGTGGACCCACAGCACGTGTGCAACACCTGCCGGTATACGTAGTACTTGAGGAGCTATAACCAACCAAGTAAGTACGAAGTTAACTCAGTCTACTAGTAGTGTGCTAGTATTGGGAGGAACGTTTACAAACCATCTTTTCAAGGTTAGCATCGTTACACCAGTCGTTCGACACGTACTCAAGCAGTAATAAAAATGGCAGGTTGAAAAATAATGTCAATCAATTGTCACCGTGACTGTATCGATATCGCGATTATTCGGCACGAGCTTTTTAAATTCAAAGCTTTGATACGACTCGCACGTCCCATGCCAGCCATATCAGGAGAGTACAAAATAAGCTCCTCTTCTTGAGTGCGACGGTTAGCTTTCTGCACAACCCACCCCAGCATCATATCCAGTTCGCAGCGTGGAGATGTTGTTCCCCTATGTGCTCGCCGTAATTGTCTTGCTGCTAGTACTGTATCTCCGGTCCTGGTCAAGGAAGTCAGCTGGGCTGCCCCTTCCGCCAGGACCACGTTCACTGCCATTCCTTGGGAATGTCGGTGACATTGATATGGTGCGCCCATGGCGTACATATAGTGAATGGAAGGCGAAATACGGTCAGTACCGCAGTCTCGATTACTTTTCCCTCTCACATCTTCAGTAGGTCCCATTGTATCATGTCGTCTGATCGGCCAGACTGTCATCATAATCAACTCTGAGAAAGTTGCACGGCAACTCCTTGATCAGCGCTCGGCGATATACTCTGACCGTCCTGCAGGTCCTGTGCCTAAACTGTGAGGTCGCACTTCCCCCTTGTTATTTGCTCTAATCGCGATAAATCGTTAGTTTTGGCATAGACTTCATCACCGCGTTTCTTCCGTACGGGGATACATTCCGGCTTCATCGACGATTATTTCACCAAGCATTGCGCCCCGACGCAGCAGATTCTTATCGAGATCTCTATTTGGACAAAGCTCGCCAGCTGTTGTCTAACCTTCTTGGCTCTCCCGAGGCGTTCGAGAAGCACCTTTTCTTGTAAGCTAGCCATTCCTCGTCCACGACGCCTACAATGACGGGAACAGGTATACAGCTTCGATCATCATGTCGGTAACTTACGGATACGATAAAGTCTCTTGGGATGGACCTCCGATTACATCTATCGCCAAACTTGCGGAGTTAATAAATGTTGGCATTCAACCAGAAAGAAGTGCGATACTCACGGCATTCCCTATACGTACGCAAATTTATTCGAGATAGAACTTCTGAGCTTACCTCGTTGCAGTTGCGCGACTACCTCCCTGGTTTCCGGGTGCATCATTCCAGCGTATCGCGCAGCGTACGCGGACGCTGGCACTTGAGTCTATGAACGAACCATTTGAATTTGTAAAAAGGAATATGGTGAGCACATGGCATAGTAGTCTTGTGGGCGCGAATACTCAAGGGGCTGAAGGCTGCCGGAAATGCACCAAAGTCAATGGTATCGGATCTGTTGAGCGAAATGGACGGGGAAAAGCACGCCTATTCAGAACAGGCAGTGAAACACGTTGCCTTAACTGTCTTTGTTGGTGAGTGTGTTTGCTTTCTATCATGTTACGGGACGAGCCAACATATTCATAGCCGGGTTTGATACGGTGGGTCCACTATGCTACATTATGATGTAGACTGCGGACAGATCGACTGATGGATTACATAGAGCTCTTCCACGTTATCCTCTTTCATACTAGCAATGGTCTTGCATCCTGAGGCTCAGCGGCTCGCTCAACAAGAAATTGATTCTGTCGTTGGCGTTGATCGGCTGCCAGATTTTTATGACCGACCGTCTTTAAAGTACGTGGAGGCTGTTTTTCGGGAAGCCATTCGTTGGCATATCGTTGCACCACTTGGTGAGAGACTTAATGTTTCAACTATATCGTTTTCAACATCGTTCCGACAGGTATTCCTCATGCAACATCAAGTGACGACGTCTTTGAAGGCTATTTCATTCCAAAAGGTTAGTCGGCTGATTCTCTATGTTTTCATCCCTACTAATGTGACGTGTTTCACTGTAGGCTCTCTCATTATGCCTAATATATGGTTTGCATCAATTTTTAACGAGTCTTGGGCCTTGTAACCTAGTCACCTCTTCAGGGACATGTCCAGGGAAGGACACGATGATCCTGATGTTTTCAGACCGGAAAGGCACTTTGCAAGTGACGGGACACTTTTACCAGACACGATAGCAGCCAAACCTATATGGGGTTTTGGAAGGAGAGGGTAAATGTCGAACCCATCCAGGAATCGGTTTTCTTACAAGCTGGTTAGGTGCCCAGGGCGTTTCATCGCCGAAGCTGCGACGTGGAGCGCGGCAGTGCATCTCCTTGCAGTGTTCCGGATAACGAAGGCAGAGGACGAATCAGGGAAAGAAATTGAAGTGAAAGAAGAGTTCACCTCTGGAGTGGTCTGGTATGTTCTTGTGTGTTTGAGACATGAAGCGTCGGCATCCTCACCACTGCCGATTTTGTAGCCGACCCGTGCCGTTCCAGTGTTCTTTTGTCTCCCGATCAACGGACAGGGAGAAGGCAATCCGCTTGGGCGATTAATCTTGGATGGGGGCTGGGACCTGATTATTCTAGCGAGTTAGTTAGTTATGTAACTTGTAGTAACTCTTCGCGATTATGTATTAATTACATTGTACTTGATTACTTTCCATAGCTACGTCGACGATCGTGTTTTCATCCGTGATACTTGGTCGGTAAC